CGGTGGTGGAGGCGACAGCTGCGGCGGAGGGGAGGACGGTGGGAGGAGTGGGGCATCAAGGAAGAAGTCTTCCATCTGCTCCAGCTCCTTCTTGAGGAGGGAGGCCATAGCTTCCAGGTCAGGCGGGGAGGGGGAGCGGGGAGGGAGGGCACCTGAGGGTAAGGGGGGCTCCAAGGGGAGGAGGGCTGTAAAGTCCACCCGCTCAGTCATCCAGTCAGAGAAGCCATCACCTGGAGGAGCAGAGGAGGACAGTTCCTTCAGTCCCTGGTCTTTCGCCCAACTCAGCACATGCTCAGCTCGGCTTCATTCATCCCATCTACTGAGTAAATCCATCAACTAGCCAATCCGTCTACCACCAGGTCACCGAATCATCAACCCAGTCCACAAACCGACCAACCAGCCAAGCAAACAGCTGATAAATCCAACATTTAACTGACTGACCAAACAAGCAACTAAATGAATCAATCAACCAATCAATCCTTTTAACCAGCCGATTAATGAACCAGCTAACCAACCAAGGCCCCAAACAACAGAACAGTCAACCATTCCAACATTCTCTCTACTGATTAACCTACATGCGTGGTTTCTCTGGTTTACTTTCTAGTTTATCTTTAAAAGCAAACTAGATCCCACATACACAACATGCCCCATTTCATCTTTAATTAATTACTGAAAACTCACTATGTTCCAAGCATTTGGGGCACACTAGTGAACAAAGTAATTCCTGCCTCAGGGCCTCTGCATATGCTGTTATCTCCACCTGAAAAGCTCTTCCCTTGGGTCTTTTCGTGGCTCATTCCTTCCCATCCTTTAGGCCTCTGCCAAAATATTACTTATTTGATGAGGGTTTCCTGGCTACCCACTCTAAACTAAGTCCCCGTTGTCATCTTTTTAGCTCACTACTAAGCGTTTCCCACTTATCCCAGTATCTCACTTAATTTCCCCACTAGAGTGCGAGCTCCAGGAGAGCAAGGATCATGTCAGTCTTGTTCCCAGCTATCTCCCCAGCACTTAAAACAGTGCCTGGCACATTACAGGTGCTTGATAATTATTTACCCAATGAATAAATAAATGAATTCTTCCTTCTTCTACCCTGCCCCCAAGTCCCATTTTGCACCTGCCCTTACCTGTCAGGGGCTCTCCCCCCCCTGGAAGCCCGCCCTCCAGGGCCCCCCCAAGGACCTCATAGGGGCCCAGGGGGGCAGGGGCCAGGGGGAGTTTCCCATAGTCTACGAGCCAGCCCAGCCCGCTAGCTGGGAGCAGGGCCCTGTCCAGCTCCAGTCCCAGAGTCGCCAGGAGTGACATAGCTGCAGCACAGGTGCTGGGCACGGATGACAACGAAGGAGGCTGCACCAACAGCTGGGAAGAGGCTCTGGCAGTTGCTCAGCTGGGCGAAGATAGGCACCAAGGCAAAAGTGGAGGACCTACAAGTGAGACAAAAGTGGGTGGGGTCACAGGCCAGCCTCACTCACCGCCAAAGTCACGGGGAAACCAAGCCACACTCCACATCCCCACGGTCCTCCCTCCCCCTTCCAACTGGGATTGGGGCTATGCCCTGCCCTCTCAGGATTCCATGTCTGCCCTACCTTTCCCCAAATCTCTGAGCCCTACCCACTCCCAAGGGAATTCTCTTTATGCCTAACTTACTTTTCTTCAAAATTCCCAAGACCCAATCCTTCCAATACAGAAACCTAATGGTTTCCCAGGAGAATGTCCTTTGGCCCCTCCCACCCACACCATAATTCCATCATAAACGTTTTCAGTCCCAGGGGAATTTTCTTCCAGCCCCACCCCCCTAGGTTCCAGCTCAAATCAATGCCCCTTCATCAGAGATACCCATTCAAATCCCATTCTTCCCTTTGAGAACTTTGCCGTGACCTCCACTGTCCCCCCAAATCATGCCCCACTGTTCATCTTAGCTCCACCCCTCCGCGAAGATTCCCGAGGCCCCGCCTCTTTTTCCAACCGGAACCCCACCCCTTTCCTAAAGTTTCGCTTAGCCCCGCCCCTCCCCACAAAGGTTCCGGTGAGCCCCGCCCTTCGCGACGGCGGGGACCCTGGCCCCACCCCATTCCTAACGGGTTGTCTCTAAGCCCCGCTTTGCGCGCCGTTTAAACCGGCACCCGCCCAGCTGATGCGTGAATGAAGAGGAGGGAAGCTGTGCTGTGCGACTAAGCAACGTGGAACAGGGAGGGTGGAAGGGCTTCCCCACGGGGCTTTCTCGCCGAGAGCCACAGCGCATGCTCCACCACGGAGCCGTCCCTCTGCTCTCGCGCTTCCGCCCTCCTGGGGTTACTGCGAATGTGCAGCTGCTAACTGCCGGCCCTTTGCACATAAATAGCGACTCTGGTGCGCTAATACGCATGAGCAACGGCCCGTGTACAGATTGGTTCCAGAGGAAATAAGTAAGTAAATAAATTAAACCCTGTCTGAGCGCTAGTACTCTAGCACGACGGCCAACGTCGGGAAGAAAGCGCCCTCCCCCCACTAACGGGGCGAGTGCGCATGCGCAGCCGCGCCCCAACGTCCATTTTTCCTCTTCTGCGCCTGCGCGACCGTGATCCCTCACTCTCGTCTCCCCACCCCTTCCCCAGGCCTGGTCCTGAAGGCCGCGAGCTTCGAAAGAGCGGGAAAGGCAGTTGAAACGGGAGGGACGAGCGGTTACTCACTCCATGGCTGCGGAAAGGAGAGGCAGCAGCGGCCTCAGCTGAGAGAAGAAGGCGGGAGCGGAGAGCGCAGGCGCGGTGAGCGCGGAGACGGGCCGGGGGCTCGGAGGGGTGGCGGCTACAGCGCCATGGCGGGGCTACGCGGGCGGAGGCGGTGTCGCGGTAGCGTGGGGAGAAGTCGTTATCTAAGGCGATCTGAGGATGGGGAATGAGGCGGCCCCGGGGACTAGGGACAGATATACCGGCGATGGCGGAGCACGGCACGCTGGATCCTTCCGCGCCCCGCCCAGGGAGGCCCCAACTCGCGGGCGGGCCTGGCCCCCTCCTCCTTCCTTCCCCGGGAGTTAAGCGCTCTCCTTTCTCGGTTCTGGCACCCAGCCCCCTTTTTCTTCTGACTTCGGGGGTTCCAGCTCTCCCTTCCCTAGGGTTCTGGGGTCCCCCTCCTGATAGCGAGTCCGGCCCTCTGCTCTCTTTGACCCTGCGGCCTGGTTTCCTCCTCTTTGACACCAGCATTGGTTCATTTCTGGTTTACTTTCCTCTGCTTAACGAATTTCTGGCCAGCCACACGCTGGTCTCTTCATGCCCCAACTTTCGTCTCACCCCGCGTGACTCACAGCCCACCCTCCATTCAAATGACAGACCTGCCATGGTGGCCTTGGGAAAATAACTGGAATGCTCTGACGGCAGATAGGGAAAATGAGAATAAGCAACTCTACCTGATGGGTTTGTTTGTAGGAAATAAGTTGATGCTTGTGAGCCTCACGCACGGAACCCAGCTGGTACACGTCTTTTCGACTTATTTTATTAGTGGGAACTCTGGGACCCAGTCTAACACCTCCCACCCCCCTCAAGAGCCCCAGACACTTGACCAGCCAGTGCCTGCTAAGAGGCCCTTCTTGTGTCTCATTCACTCCTCCAAGGCGGCAATTTTAGCTAGCCCCATCCCGACCCAGGGATGCTGGGAATCAGGCATCATTGCCCTCACACCACCCTGTTCTCCATCTGCTGCCCTCCTTCCCTCGGCCCTTGTCTACAGTGCTGCTCTTAGGCCAGTTGGTTTAGTCTTCTGCCCCTGTTCCTCACCCTGAGTTCCTGAGATGTCCCCCAATGGATTAGTCCCACAACCCTGCCAAGAACGGGGAGGCCATTTATGAAAAGGGGGAGTGTCCTAGCCATTCCTCCCCTGTGCACTGGGCCCTCCACCAGCCCAAGTGGATGTGGGTCGTTCCTCTGCTGCAGAAACTTCTCTTTCCCACTCTGCGTCCATCCACATCAGGATGTTACACCTGAAGTTCAGCCTTCATCACTTTTATGGCGGTTATGGGACTGAATCAAAATCCAAAGAAGGTGGGGAATCCCTGATCTTGAGAGTTCCATGGGGAAGAAAGATAGGCAGGCTTCTTTCTTCCCCCTTCCCTGAACATGCAGGAAGTCCTTGGGATCTGGCCACTTTCCCATAGAGCACTTACTGTTCACTCTGCCAGTATTTGAGCATTTGCTCTATATTTCCTTGACTCAGTAGAGGCTACATTATTACCTAGACATCAGTTAAGATCATAGACTCTGGAGCCAGGTTATTTGGGTTCAAACCCTGGTTGCACCCCACTTAATAACTGTCATGCTGGTGATTTCCCATACTTCCCTGTGCCTCAGATTCCTCCTCCGGTTTATTTCTTTTTTAAGGCCAGTAATAGTACCTACCACTTAGGTCTGTTATTAGGATTAAATGAGTTAATCCAGGTCAAGTGCTAAGCAGTTAGTGATTTAAAACTATGACTAGCCTGTCCAGGCGTGGTTCAGCAGTTGAGTATCAACCTAGGATCCAGGCGATCAGGGTTTGATTCCTGGTCAGGGCACATGTTGGGGTTGCGGGCTTGATCCCCAGTCAGGGGTGTGCAGGAGGCAGCGGATCAATGACTCTCTCATTGATGTTTCTATCCCTCTCCTTTCCTCTCTCTGAAATCAATAAAGATATATTTTTAAAAATAAATAAATAAGCAAAATAAAACTATGACTGACTGTGGCCTGTGTTGCTCAGTGGTTAGAGCGTTGGCCCACACACCAGAGTCACAGGTTCGATTCTGGGTCAAGGGCACATATCTGGGTTGCAGGTTCAATCCCCAGCCCCGGTTGGGGCGCCTGCAGGAGGCGACCAATCAATGTGTCTCTCACATCGATGCCTCTCCCTCTCACCACTTCACTCCCTCCCACTCTCTTTTTCTTTCATTTTTTTAATTTTAATTTTTTTTTTAGTATGTCTATTGATTTCAGAGAGAGGAAGAGGGAGAGAGAGAGAGAGAAACATCAATGATAAGTGTCACTAATTGGCTGCCCCCTGCAC